AAAATCCTCGTAAACTACAACCAGTTTTCCTTCTTGACTGTCTTGCTCAAGGACACATCAGACATGTTGCTGCAGCAGCTGGGGATCGAACCCCTGACCTTCTGGTTGAGAGACGACCGACTGGTTGAGCCACAGCCACCCTGTACATGGGGTGTTCAAAATAACCACAAGGCCACCAGCATCCCTTGTTTGATTTTCTTCTTCTATAATCATCTTGAAGTGTAATGTGGCTTTTTTTTTAATCACCAAATATTGCAAGCAAACTTCTGCACGCTGTCTAAATAGCAAAAATAGATTGGCAACATTTTGGTTACCGTTGACAACATATTTTTGCATTTTAGCCAGTGACAATCCTCTGTTCTCTCCGGCTGTTTGTCAGAGAAAGAAACTTTTGCATCTTTATGAGACGCCAAATGGACTTAAAAAAACATCCGTTACTTCCAGTATTTTGTTCAAAATGTGACTGAAGATCTGTATTTTATCCAGAGCTTTGGACCTTTTGGATATCTTTGATCATTATATATTAAATATTGGATATTGTATTGAAAAGGTTGGCAACCTTATTATCCTGAGTGGAACGTGACATCTTTATGCATTACTCAGATCTGCTCCAAAACATGCTTTATAACGTCCATCTTAGTTCCACAAAGGAGAGTAAAATCAGGCTGCTGCGAGGCGTTCGGAGCCACGCTGGAATCTCCAGGATCAGATAAAGAGCAGAGCGCTGGTCCAACAAGATTACATTCCTCCACTGACCCTCTAATTGTTCCCATCATGCCCCTGAGACTCGACCTGCAGGCTGAGATCCAACGAGGTGATTTAGACTCGCTTCTCCAGAATGAAGCCAAACATTTTAGGAATTTTTCTGCAGTGTTCCCTGGCTATTAAAAAAAAATATATATATATATATATATGTTTTTCTCCCCACCTCCTTCCTCCCTTGATGTTGGGCTGTGTAGAGTGATTGTGGAGGAAAAGGGTGGGACCTGTAAACAGGAGATAAGCTGGATGGAGGGAAAGATGGACGGACGGATGCAATACTAACAGCATCGTGTTGATAAGAAGCTAACAGGCTTTTCCTTCCGCTCATGTGAAGGCAGCTCCTGCAGAAAAAAAGAGGAATTCATCTTAAAGACCCGTTATCAGCTCGTCCAACACAAAGATATGCCTAGCTCAGCACAGAGACCGCCTGTCACATTTGCAGTGAGTTCCATACTTTTGGGGGCATAAAAACGGAACCCTTGACAGTATCTGTATGGGACATTTAAGGGTTTGTAAAAGGAAAAGTAGCTAGCAAACAATCCTGCCAGATGATCTCCACATTCAGTATAAAAGATGCAGGTGAGGTCATGTGTTGGTGCTCTGCCACCTCGGGCTCCACAGTCGATATTTCCAGAGGAGTCTGAGCAGGAGGAGCTGCTGCTACTGCTGCTGCTGCAGGAAAAAAATGTGACTCTTCTGGTTCAGAGTCTGTTCAGCGGCTCACTTTCACCATCAGACCGGTTTTGTTTTTCTGCCCTTGAATCCAGCCTCCATACCTGACCGTGACTCATGGTTCAGCAGCTACAAGACGCAGCCACTGCCAGGCTATAAATAGACGGAAAACATGCAGATCTGAAGTCCTCAGTTCAATCAAACACCGACTCTGTTTACTGCCTGAAAAGAGAAACATCTAGCATGCTATCGTGTCTGGAGGAGAGTTCATGCAAAGAGAAGATGACGTGTTGCATGGATTAGATAATGAATACAATCAGAAGACAATCAGAATGTAAAAGCACAAAATCAGCAGAACTTAATTTCAGGAAAAGTTAGATAGTAGCAGAAAGTAAAAGACTTACGGAGGCTGTAGTCCTCCAAGCGGGTGGCCCGGGTTCAAATCCGACCTGTTGCTCTTTTCCTGCATCTCATTCCCCACTGTTTCTGTCCCTGATTTCCAACTCTACCCGCTGTCCTGTCTCTACAATAAAGGCCCAAAAATAAATCTTGAGAGATAAGAAACATTTTAGTCTTTAGAAATAAAGCATTAAGTTATTTTGTGATCTTCTGAGCCCGTTTAGAAGTTGAGGGGAATTTGACTTGAAAGCATCATCAGTGTTGGTTAGGACGGCTCACACTGGCCCTGTGTAGGGAGCCTATAGCTGTTGAAGTCATGTGTGGACGGACGTATTTTATCTTGTTTTTACAAAGCTTGCACATTGCATGACTCGTGTCCAACTCCCGACTTCCTGGTGTTTGCAATAATCCAACCTGCTCCTGTAATCTTTGATCTCAGGTTTGCTGGCGATGCACAGAGTTTGTCATGCATGCTTGTTTGTTTTGAAATGAAACATGATATAGTGAGGCTTCTACTGTCGCCTATTGGTGCTGTGTCTTTCTAAACTGCTGCACCAGCATTTAGGGCCATTTACTGTAGATTCTCTTACATCTGCATTGATGAACGTATTGGGAAGAAGTATGTACCAATATATCGGCATTTAAATTTTTGGAGCAAAGCCCTAATGTGCTAGCACCGCACTCTTGTTGCTTGTTTGTCATCACATGATGAATTTTCCCAAAAAATGTGTTGTTTTTTTTTTGGTCGCCCTGGAGCAGTTGATAGTGATAGGAATAGAAAAGTAGAACACAAGAGTCAATCAGATATTTGGATATCAATACTATTTTTTTGCAGTATTATAAAGGCGTTTCTAACACTGGCATTGGGATCAGAAAACTCCAAATGTAAGCTCATTTTGTTTTTTCATGATGGATCACTTTCCGGTCAAGGGTGCCTCGGCTCAGCTTCAGAGATAGGTTGAGGCGCTCGGACGTCGGGAGGGAGATCCGGGTTGAGGCGCTCGGACGTCGGGAGGGAGATCCGGGTTGAGGCGCTCGGACGTCGGGAGGGAGATCCGGGTTGAGGCGCTCGGACGTCGGGAGGGAGATCCGGGTTGAGGCGCTCGGGCGTCGGGAGGGAGATCCGGGTTGAGGAGCTCGGGCGTCGGGAGGGAGATCCGGGTTGAGGAGCTCGGGCGTCGGGAGGGAGATCCGGGTTGAGGCGCTCGGACGTCGGGAGGGAGATCCGGGTTGAGGCGCTCGGACGTCGGAGGGAGATCCGGGTTGAGGCGCTCGGACGTCGGGAGGGAGATCCGGGTTGAGGCGCTCGGACGTCGGGAGGGAGATCCGGGTTGAGGCGCTCGGACGTCGGGAGGGAGATCCGGGTTGAGGCGCTCGGACGTCGGGAGGGAGATCCGGGTTGAGGCGCTCGGACGTCGGGAGGGAGATCCGGGTTGAGGAGCTCGGGCGTCGGGAGGGAGATCCACGTAGAGCCGCTGCTCCAGCCAGTTGAGGTACCCCTCGGAGGAGACCTAGAGGTAGACCCAGAGCTCACCTGAGGGATTATAAAGCCCTCCTGGTCTGTGACCTCCTTAGGATCCCCCAGGAGGAGCTGGAAAACATTGCTTGGGAGAGCAACGTCTGGGGCGACTTGCATAGCCTGCTGCCAGCGGATAGATAGATAACGAATTGTTGTTTCTACTATAGCCACTTTTTGTCTTTGTGCTATGTTTTCACTTAATTTTTTTTATTGGATCATTACTAATAATTTCATTATTTTTAAGTGATATGCCTCCCAGACTGTCACCAAATATGCATGAATGTTAATGTTAGAAAGCCAGCAGGCAAAAGTTCAGTGTTGGTTTTTGGCCTAAAAACGCATAGCATGGAATTGTTCCATAGAAGACATTAGCTAAGGATGTCTACTAGTTCCATCTCGGCCATAGATGTTTTAAATATTATCACGGCAACAAGGCTTATTTTTTAACGTCTGTAAAGCTCTTTGTAACTCATCAAGAAAAGAGCAGTAAAAAGCCGGTTGTTTGTTTGTTATTGTCATGACAACAAATACAAAGTACAGCTGAGACTGTAGAAGTTCTGCTGTTATTTGGTCATGATCCAAAGTATTTCAGCTAACAGTAATCTGATGATGGGGGCCGCTGGTTTAGCTCAGTTGGTAGAGCTGGCAGCCCTACTCTCTCTCCCCATATTTCCTGCAAAAAGCCCCAAAAAATCAATTTACAAAAAATGTATAATCTGATGATGGTGATATGTGATGTCTCAGGAACACGACCGATCAGTCGAGCCCAAAGTCAACGACAGACAATGACGTCCACTTTGAACCTTGATTCTGGTTGGCTAAAAAGCAACGTCCAATATTCATAATTGTGTAAATTAAAGCCAACGTGAACTTTAATACGGGTTTAAGATGTCAGGACTTCCTCTTCCTGCTCTGATTCTGAACCAGTCAGAACTTGAAAAGCTGCTCCACACCGATCGTTGCGTCTGCCGTTTCTGTCTGGTCTTCAGAACGATGTCAATAAAAAGGAAAAAGAACCTGATTGTCATTTTGATTATTTGAAGCTGATTTGCTGTTTCCTGCCTCGCTGTGTCAAACATGCAGCGCTGCATCTCTGAACAACAGAGCGGCTGTTCTGCTCAGCAGGTTGTAAATGATCTCCATTCATAAAGGCGTGTAGCTGTATTCACCTGTATGAATGGAAAAGCTGGTAACTGGGCCGCTCCTGTGAGACACAATAACAATGTGGGTGTGTTTGCTCGACATAAACGGAACATCTTATTAGCATAACACAAGAAATATGTCATTGTGTCTTAATTGTTTTAACTTCCTTTCTTTTAGGTCTTGGTTGTTTTTATTGAAAATGTTTCTGCAGGTTTCCCTTTCATATTTCTAATGACACGTTTTTACTGAATGATTCATGAGCCAGACGATGAATAGCCGAGGAAACATTTCATACAGTACAGCGCCCAGCTAATGAGCTGCTGACGTACAAATGGAGTTTAATAAATGGAGTTGACCTCATTAGAAGAACAGGTTCTGTGGGTTTTGTTTGTGTGACAGCAGCTGCTGCAGGATCTGTTTATACTGGCACTAATCCTGACCTGATGCATGAAGACGCATGTTATCATTTAAATATTAACGTGTGTTGTTTTTTTCTGTGTCTCAGCTGGAGGAGTGCACCCTTCAACTGGCTCCACATGGAAACTATTTGGACCTGGACTCGTCGATGGCCGAGCAGAGAGACGAGCTGGAGAGCTTCTATGAAGACATAGCGTAAGAGCCTTAACCTTCACTCGACCTGTCTGTGTTCACTCTCTGGGCCTTTCCCAAGTCGCTCCCTCCACACTCACACTCCGTCTGACGTCACGCCCACGGCTGAGTGACGCACCTGTTGTTTACGTGGAGGGTATAGATTGTAAAAATGTGTATTAAAATCATTCTAACCATGATTTTGTGTCACCATAAGGAACAATGAAAAATCTTACACCTGTTTAGTAAGTGAGCGTCGGTACAGACTCGCTGTTGGAGCGAACGATCCACTGAATTTACCCTCTGAGAGTTTGAACGACACTCAATGTGGCCGACCCTCCAACTCAAAGGAGACTGTGTAGGAAGTGGTTTGAGAAAGGCTCTCTGTCTCACCTGTCATGGCCATCCAGTGTGTCCAGTTCAGCCCAGTGTGTCCAGTTCAGCCCAGTGTGTCCAGTTCAGCCCAGTGTGTCCAGTTCAGCCCAGTGTGTCCAGTTCAGCCCAGTGTGTCCAGTTCAGCCCGGTGTGTCCAGTTCAGCCCGGTGTGTCCAGTTCAGCCCAGTGTGTCCAGTTCAGCCCGGTGTGTCCAGTTCAGCCCAGTGTGTCCAGTTCAGCCCAGTGTGTCCAGTTCAGCCCAGTGTGACCAGTTCCATCCTGTTTGTTTAAAGTGAAACTCCACCCATCATCCATTACTTTAAAACCTCAGAAGCTGTGATCATCTGCTGGGAAGGAGGTGTTGGTCAAGTTTTAATGGTGGAAAATGGCCGTTGTCAACAGACTGTTGTCATAGAGACAGGACGGACGTTTAGCCCTTTTCTTCTCAGCGCACAAACGCTTCATGCAAACACTCCCGAGCGCACATTCAGCGCTTTTCTGCCCGGAAAAACGCTAGGTGGATACGAGGCTTATGTAAAACTTCTATCTTTAATATATCCAAAACACGAGTTATAAACCCCCTCATACTGTTTTTATCAATAGATAAGTGAGTTAATCTGTTTTCTTGAACGAGGCTGTAAACATGTTAATGTCTGATTTTTTGAATGGGTGTGTATGTGACTTCTTGGGCTTCTGAAGCCAGCCTCTAGTGGACACTTGATGAACTGCAGGATTTTGCACTTCAGCATTGGCTTCATTTTTCTACACCAGAAAATGCCGCCTGCTGTGTGTGTGTGCATTTAAAGGGGACATGTATCCCACTTTTCATCCAGGACTTAAATTAACTATTGAGAACAAAAGTTTATTCGGGAAATGTTTCCTGGATAGTAAATCCAGTAAGCACGTTTTTCATAGACTCCTACTCAATCTGTCTTCTTTTTGCAGTCAGTGAAGTCGCCCCCTGCTGGCCTTCAGAAGTACTGGCGGTTGAAGGTCATTTTCTGAGCAGGAGGATATGTAGTATGTCTGTGGGTAAAAAATAAGAAACGGTCTTGTCTAAAATTCACTTGATTTCTTCCATCATCAACATGAACTCAAATATTTCCAACATCAAAGTGAGCGATATCAGGGTCATGATCTTTTCCTTTTAGGGGAATAAATATCAAAACATTCACAGAGGTTATCCTGAAGCAGCTCGCTCCTCTTCTCTTTACGACGACTGAAACAGAGGCAGAAATATTTCTTACTCCGTCTTTGCTATATTTGCATCAGACAAACACGACTCCTGTGGGAACAGAAGTATTCACGTCAGTCTGAGCTCCTTAAACTGACAGTCAGCTGACCGCCAGGAAACCAGAATTAAAATGATGGACTGCAGCTCAGCCCGGCTTTCTGCTTCATTTATCTTTAACTTAATGTTCAGTTGAAGCTGATATCTCACAGGGAGTCATTCAGACAGAAGGAGTCAGTACACAGCAGTCGGCGTGAGTCGCTGTTAGGGAGTAAGTGTGACTGTTATTCAGGAGAGTTCATCACACTGATCATGGTTTAATAAATCTGTGAGTAATCAGTCCTCATTATCACACTCCTGTAACTCTGCAGCACTTATCATGGACCCTTGTTAAAGGAAGAATTTGACATGTTCCACATAAATAAATCATAAATCCAGTCTCTCCTGTGTAAATGTGTCTCTGAGTCCTGACTGTCTACAGTGAGGGAGAAGCTCGAGTCCCGCTGGCTGTGTTGTTGTCAGAGCCGTGTTTACATGGACGGGACGGCCGGCTCCTCCCCTTGTGTATAAAAGCTGTTTAAGTCAAGGACTAGAGAGAAGAAGAAGAACATACTCACTGATTATTTGGATGGTCTCGGTCATTCCATGGAAATTTATGTGCAATATGAAACTTCGAGCTAACTAAAGAGCGCTAACATTAGCATGCTAACACAACAATGCAGGACACAGGTGATTGCACCTCAAGCAGAGGACAGTTTAGTCCAACGCTTGCTCTTGAGTCCTTTGTGTGAACGTGAGTGGAGGGGGGTTCGAGGTGTGTCATTGGAGGAGAGCGGAGGCTTCAGTATGGAGCAGGCGTGACCAAACAGACGTTTGATTTGGTTTCATGCTGGAGCTACAGGGCGACACCTACTGGATCAAAAAGTCACACATTCTTCCCTGAAGTAAACATAAAAAGATATTACTTTAATTCTTTAAATCAAACGTTATCTTTATGTTAGAGTCACAGGCAGAGTTTTATTTGGTATCTGGGCGTGTATAACTCGTGCAATGGGGACAGAAATATGTTTAAAAAGACACATTGTAAGGACGTCTCATTTCTTTTTTCCTTATCATAAATCAGTGAGTATTGGTTGGGGTGTGCAATGGAAATATTTCCAGTGAAGTGAAGAATATGAACAAAGACCCAATCATCTTTGTGAGGTTTTAGAAACTGTACAGAGTGTACCATGGTGACCAGTCTGCAGAGATACTCAAATGAGACAGAATGAAGACTCCTTTTAAACAAGTCAAGGAGGAAGCAACAATATTGACAAGCTCCTGTTATAGGAGATAAGTAGTTTAACACAATCAACCTAAACAGTAGGAGAGCAAATGTCCATGCAGGGTCATCCTTGTAGAGGTCAAAGGTCATGTAAAAGACCTCTAGAATCACATGATGCTTACAGGCCAGTTGAACCTAAACAGTATTCTTTTGAAATGTTCACAGTTCATATCAGAATTATTTTAACACATCGGTTAAATACATTTTTTTCCCATTACAGGTGAGAGAAAGTCGCCAGGAAATGAGTAAAAAGTCAGTAAAATCTGACCTTTTGTAGTCATGGAAACATGTGTCGGGGGGGGATTTGTGATTTCTACAATGTCTTAAAATCCCTGAGTGAGAATACTTTCTTTTTTTAGATTAAGAGAAATTCAAACCTCACTTCTTTTTCTCATTCTTTCCAAACTTCCATGCTGTCGTTCTTTCCGTCCTCTGATCCCAGCAGGCCTCAGTCAGGCTGCGGCTGCGGCGGAGCTGTTCTGTGATTGGCTCAGAGCAGCTTCAGTCGTCTCTACCTGCTGTCAGTCCAACAGGAGATAACAGGACACAAAAAGGGATTTGTGGCTTTATGTGTAATCTGTGTTCATGGTATGGTTTTGTAAAGAGAGGTGTTGTGTGTTGTGTGTGTGTGTGTGTGTGTGTGTGTGTGTGTGTGTGTGTGTGTGTGTGTGTGTGTGTGTGTGTGTGTGTGTGTGTGTGTGTGTGTGTGTGTGTGTGTGTGTGTGTGTGTGTGTGTGTGTGTGTGTGTGTGTGTGTGTGTGTGTGTGTGTGTGTGTGGTGTGTGTGTGTGTGTGTGGTAGTCCTGTGGTTTGTGATGCTGCTCACAGTCAATGACTCAAGTCTTCTGAACTCGCTGCAGCAGAGGTGGAGCACATGAGCAGCACTCGTTAGTCAACATAAACTTCATGTTAACGTTACTTATTCCAGAATAACATTCAACTTATATCAGAACGAGACAGACTTAAGGTGTTTACACATCAGGGACCCGGGTGTGGATCCGAGTACCCAAAAGTCCGGTTCATTTGATCAGTGTGATCAGAAACGTGCTGTACTCTGGTACTGTGCCCGAGTCCGCTTTAAGAGGTGGTCTCGGGCCCGATTCATGTGTACTCGAGTCTGGTCTGCGGGAGATGTGAACATAAAATGTGCACAAACAAGGAAGTGGACCGCTGTACGACTCATTTCTTAACGACTCCTGTTGATTCAAAAACATCTGTTTCTGCGCAGCTCGGGCCCGTTGCACGATAGATGTGAAAGTAGGAAGAGGGTCGTTGTTGGTGTCTCAGAAATAACAAACGCATCCGCAGCTGGCAAGGTGGACTCGGCCCGCGAGTAGTTGCCATGGTTACTGAGTTCTTCTTTCTGCTTCTTGGCGGATTAACAAACCAATTGTGTGCATACTGCCCCCTGCTGTATCAGACTGTGTGCATGCTGTATCGTTAAGACGAGTTCATCTGAAACAAACACCTGGCTTCAGTTTAACATTCTCCTTTATGCCGAGGTGGGAGGAAGTGGTGTAAAAAAAAATGTATGTGAAAGTTGCATATGAGGTGTTTCTTAGGGTCCTGAAACTGTAGACCAGCGGGTTTCAGCTGTCCATGAGCATCTGTGGTCCTATATTTGTCATTGTGTCTCGCACTGTTTGTAATAGTTTGACTTTTATTTTATTTGTTTATTTAAGACGGACACGTTTAATGATTAATGCTTCAAAATACAAAGTAGATGGCATGATCAGGATCAGCCATGAATTTGTGACCGCTCTCCCGTGGCTATGGGCTTTGAGGATTAAAAAGTGTTAGACGTAAAGATCCCATATTCTCCTCATGTTCATCTTTCATGTTTTCAGTCTGTGGAATCTTTTTTTGCAGCACAAAAAAACCTAATTTTATTTGATCTATCTGTTAATGGAGTCAGAACCCTCACCTCGGCCTGAAACAGTTTGTTTCAGCTGCTGTCTCTTTAAGGCCCGCCCCTCCCAATGGGCCCCCTTTCTTATGATTGGCCAACTTTTTTGAATCCTTTAGGGGGGGGCAGAACGCCGCAGGGCTGCCGGGGGACCGCTGCTCTCCAGTATTGGGAGAAGGATTGAAACCGCCTTGTGAAATTCTTGGTTTCATATCTCGAACTATCTCGTGATTTGCAGAATAAACCATCTAGCGCCCTCTGCAGACTCGAAGATTCACTTTAATATTTATATTAATGATAAGAGATGTAAGGCTGATATTAATATCTATCATCACTCTCTACACCATGAGCAGTTTCACACTGAAGGTTTTCACTTTTGTTCTCAACATTTCTTTGATTTATCCACTCGGTTTGTAACAGAAGCAGATTTTGAATGTTTCCACTTCTGCTTTTTTCCCTTTGAGGATCAGATCGACGCCATTTTTCAAACTCTCAGTCAGTAGCTTTGACTTCAGTTCTGCAGGAGGAAACGTGCACATGCAGAGAAATGAAAGTCTCTCTGTGGTTTTCTCTCCAGCTCTGACTGTCTCTTATTTTTCCACAGAAAAGGGAAGAAGCCCATCCTGATCCTGAGGACTCAGCTCTCCGTCCGCGTTCACTCCATCCTGGGTAATTATCTCCTCCATGTCCTCCTTCTCTTTCTTTTCTTTCCACGGCCCCGTCCCTCCGTCCTCTCCTGCAGCAGACGAGTGATGACTCAGGGGAAACTCTTTCACCACAGTGACGTGTTCCTGAGAGGCAGCTGGGAGGATTTCCTCTCTGCTGTGAAAAATAGAGACTCAGTCAGAAATTACATTTTCACTTCTTCTCTTTGAAATGTTTTTAAGAAAGGTTATCCACTCCTCTACATCTCTTTGTGTCTGACCTGTGAACCTGTTGAGCCGCTGCTCGTTTGACTTGAAAATGTGGCCATGTGACCATCATGCTGTCGATGCAGAAGATTTTTGTTGTTTCAGAAGCCACAGCTGAGCCAGCAGCAGGTTAGACTATTTAACCCTAAAACCTGGATGTTTGAGGGGAACAGTTTGCCCGGCTCTGTACAGAAAAACACCAACATCTCTAACATTTAACACCAAAACAAAATAAATGATCAATCAGTAATTTTAATGATACAGTTATATCTGTAAAACAATTTGAAAAAAGTTAAAATAATGAATCAAAAGCCCAAAATATAGTTTGGGGATCGTAACTCAAACATAGATTGCTCATTAAGGTCCTGTGTCCATCTAACGCTTTTGAGTGCCAGCTTCTTTTTTAAATAGTTTCCTATGAGGAGAGAGCAGCAGCGCCCACAATCTTTTTTTTTTTCCTGGGGTTGCAGCCTTTTTTATGTGGCTGCTCCAAGAGCTCGAGTTTAAAATCATGCAGTTTTTTAAAATATACAATATTCATCGAATTTCTCTTTCCTATCGTGTCTTGCACCAATATCCTCCTTGATCTGTGTTTCATCAGGCAAAAAAACGATCTCAAATATAAAACATGCAGTAACGGAGCAGTGTCGGTCATACAGCAACTTTGTCGACTGACTGTTGTCATAGAGACAGGACCTGCAGCGTTTTATTCACAGTCCAGAGTGCACAGCCAGCATTTTTCTGCCAAGAAAAAAACCGCTAGATGGGCACAGGGCCTTGTGTAAAACTTCTATCTGTGTGTGTGTGATCATGCCTATAAACCCTTCTATTTCAGCCCTGCTCAGAACAGGCTGTTTCTGTGTCTGTACCTTTAAATAGGTGAGCTGTGTCTGACCACGCCCCCTCTCTGGAAGGGCTCGGGTGTACTCGGGCTTTCTCGCTCCATGTCCTATTGTTTACGAGAAGGCAGACTCAGAGGGCAGAGCAAACACCTAGCTGTGGGAGTGTCACCCACCTGGGGGAGGGGCTACTGCCCTTTGTGATGTCATGAAGGAAAAATCTCCAAACGGCCTGTTTGAGCACACATTTTCTGAAAAGTGGAGCAGGCAGAAAACAGAGAGGATGGACTTTTCTCATCATTGGGGGGTTTGAAGACGGACTAGAGACACATGTTAATGTTAGATAAACATGGTGAAGTGTGTTTTAAATAATATGTGACCTTTTAATCTCAGATCTGTATGAAACTACACATGATTTCTTAAGAAAAGATGATCTCATATAAATATTTATTATAACATAATTTTACACCACAGTCTCAAGAGGCTTGTTTCATTTTGTCCTTTGTAGGCTTCCATAAAACAGAACAAACAGCTTCCTCTGACATGTTTCTGCTGTTCCTTTGTCTCGGCTCGTGCTGTAGTGTCTGATTACGACGATCAGTGAGGACTGTGATTTTATTAGGAAATAGATTTTTGGATGTTGTGAGTCATGAGACGCGGTGTTTGTCACACCTCCTCACAGCAGCTTCATTCATGAGTTTATCTGTAATCTTTATAACGGGGACAAAGTGTCTGTCAGCTGGTGTGTGGTTGAATATTCTCACTTCACCTCTCTGTGGAGGTCATTATTGGAAAACTGTAATCAGATAAATATGTTTGTTTTGTTCCTTGACGTCATGTTTCTTTGGGTGAAACCGGGACGAGCTGTGTCTGTTTTTTAAGTTCATATTTTGAGTTCTTCATGACTGAAACATGTTAAAGGTTTTAGGATCGCTCCATCAATGTGATTTAGTCAGTGCGGCTGTGGCTCAGTGGGTCGAGCCGGTCGAGCCGGAAGGTCGTGGGTTCAATCCCCAGCTCCTGCAGCCACATGTCCAATGTGTCCTTGAGCAAGACACTTAGCCCCAAGTTGCTCCCACTGCTTCTCCCATGGGTATGAATGTGTATGTATGGGATTAGTTACCTCTGATGGTCACTTCACTCAGCAGCCTCTACCATCAGTGTGTGAATGTGTCGGTGTGACCTGCGGTGTTAAAGCGCTTTGAGTAGTCAGAAGACGAGAAAATACTACCAGAAATAGGAAGGTAATTCCTGTGTTCTGAGAGATAAAGTAATGTTTTTCCAATGAGGTTTGGTGGACTTGAAGAGAGCGATGTAAGGCTCTATCTTGTTCCAAAACGAGCATCTTAAGGCTCAAACTATTTGTTTTTGAACCACAAGTAGACAACCGGCAGTGTGTGAACATAAACGCTCACATACTTCCCCATGTACAACGTGTGTTACTGGTGGACTAATCTAGAGGGAGCACCACATAAATCATATGGCGTAAAGACACCGAAGTAGAGATGATCTGTCACCAGCTATTTTGGCATACATGTTTGTTGCTATGCAACAGCAATGACACATCATGGTGCGGACTCGATCTATTAACTTCTCTTCCAAAACTTTCCACCATTGTTGTAGTGGTTCTCTGATTTTGTTACATCCGGTCTCACCACAGTACAACTCTACACTGCTCCTAGTGGTTATTTGTATATTGCATCTCGAGGACATTTCTGAGGACGTGCACAACCAACCTCCAAACCACCGCAGGATACACAAGGCTGATGTCAAGTATTTTCAAACACGTAGTTAAAAACAAGGGCTTTACTCTTTAAAAAAACTGTCTCTCTCTCTGTAGGGATTCTTTCTAAAATGTTGTTTCAAACTTTTGAAACATTTATCTGAGTGCGTCAGTGACAAAAACAAAAAGCTATTTTTGGACTGACTTTGAGCTGATGCTTTTTCCTCTGAGGGTTGAATTGCAGCCGTCACAGTGTGCTTCATGACTTCATGCTGAAGAAATCTCTCTTAGCAGTAGAGTGTAGAGTGTATGAGTATTTTGTATGAGTATTTATTCAGCCATTATACATATACAATCATTTTTAAACAATACAGACAGTTCAAACATAGTCAACAGTCGTGTGTTATGTAGTGACTGAAAAAGAAGCAAAAAGCTTATAAATGCCTATCCTACATTCTTATCAAATGAACCAGCTCTCAGAAGGAAAAACAAAAAAAAAACAACAACAAATAAATCATTCACATTTCTAATGATCATAAATAGCTTTGCGAAGTTTATTTTTTTTGAAAACAAAAAGTGAATGACAGGTTTTTAAAATTTATATCGGCATCATTCCATAATTTAACCTCAACAACTGAAACACACGACTCCTTTAAATATATTTTTTTTGTATTTTGCACAACAAACTTACAAACACCTTTTAAATCATATTTGCTCTCTCGAACTGTAAAGAACCTTTGTATAGAGTCTGGGTGTGACTTTGACTTTGCTCTAAACATTATTTGCATTATTTTGTAGTCCAAGAAATCCTTACATTTCATAACATTTGAATTTATAAAAAGTGGATTTGTGTGTGCATAATAATCCGTCTTATTCACAATACGTATTGCCCGTTTTTGCAGAACGACTACTGAATTTAAAGTTATTTAAAGGTGGATCCCTACAATTCCACACGGTAAATATGTACGGTAGTATTAGTGAGCAATAGATTATCTGTAAGTTTTGAAATTTAAGAGTTAGACCTCCAAATCTATACTGTAACATCTGCCATCCTAAACACCCAGACTGTCACACACTAGCCTGAACAATGGAGACTATTTCTTTGTCTCAGTCCATGTTCATATTCCAGAGGGCCTAATCCCTCTGAGGCCGAGTTGTGATTGGTGTTATGAGCCTTGATTTTATGCCTGCAGCCTTGAATCTGTCATGTCACTGTTGCGACACGAGCCTCCTGAAACTTGAAACGCTGCAGTTGTCTCTGCTGCTCCGTCTCATGATTGGCTGACTTGTAGTGTGTGACAGCTCCACTCTTTCATTCAGGTGTTGATGTTCAGTGTTTGCAGTGGGTGTATATATTTAGTTGATGCTGCTGTCTGGTGCAGCAGACGTGTGCTTCAGTGGTCACAGCCTGTGAAACCACTGAACGTGCTGCAGAGAGATCTGACTTCTTATCGAGTTGTGTTGAGTTTGTTGTGGCCTCAACGCTCGCTGTAGTTTCTCCCTCCGTCGTCTGCGGTCCCGAATATCATACAGCAGACCCCAGATCAGCTCTTTTCTCTGCCTCTGGCTGCTGCCTGTGATTGTGTTGTTGTCGTCTTGTTTTGTTTCCAGCGTTTCTCTTCTGTTTCCTTGTTGCTGTTTTGATCCCAGCGGACCATAAACCTCCTCTCTGGTTTCAGGGCTTTTATTTTCGGCTGTTGTGTTTCTGTTCTTCACAGCAGCAACTCTCACATGATGAAGTCAGAAGGGCTTCTGCTCCTCACACAGTTTATTTTAAAAATTACAAGTTACAATAAGGCAAGAAAGCTTTTTGTCAACCCATTAAACGGGAAGATCTGCAGAGTTCAGACTCGGTTTTCAGATACCAGCTGATCGAGGCTATAACCAACAATTTATTTAATACACATTAAAAGTAGTCTACAGTGTAAAGTGGATGCATGTTGCCCTGACCCCCTCTCATCTTTGAAACCAACAGTAATAAATAAATAATTTGGAGCATAAGAATAAAAGACAGAAGGAAGACAACATTGTAAAATAACACAGACATTAAAGTCTGCTGTTCAGTCGTCTGACTCTGTGAGGATAGAAACTGTCCTTGAGGCGTGCTCTGACGCTCTGACGCTTTGTAAACTGTTTCATTGATATTCTTCTTCTTCAGCTCGTTATTCCCTCTTTCTGACTGTTATCTGAACTAGA